TTTGTTTTTTTCCAAGGAACCATGTCTCCTAATCTATGTCTCACTTATAAACACTGGGATATGAAAGCTGATGCAGTTTAGGGAATAAAATAATATAATTAGAAAAGTGAAGAGAAGCTTAGAGAGCAATGGGAAACCAATAAAGGTGAGAAGGAAGAAATGAGAACCACAGTTTGCCACGTCCCTCAGAAATGTTTCTTCTTATAGTGAATGATAGTGGGCCAGAGCTCACCAAATTTGATGTCAATGATCAATATTTATCTTGGTTCTTAAAAGCAGAGCAGAGAAGGAACTATATGTTTAGTAAATCAGAGATAAAACATTGTTCTGTGGCAACGTAGTCAAAAAAGAAGGTGGGCTCCAGTTATAGACAGCTAGATCCCTTAAAGGATAAAACCACAGACCAAGGCTAATTGTATAAGAAACAGAAAAGGGTCGCAAATATAAGCTCCATAAACCCATCTGAATTCTGGAGGTCTCCCAGATCCCATCATACTGATATCACCAGAAGCAACGCATTTCATTCCCAAATTACAAACGATACATACATGCAGTAGGTGCAGACCTCTCCCTAGTCTGGAGGTGCTCACTGTTATTGGCAGGAGAGCCACTGTGAAAGTCAAAACGACATCCAAAACTTTAAAAGAATCCATATTTTTAAATTAAAAAGATGAGAAGAAATGACAAAATGTAGAAAAATGGGGAACTGAACTAAACGTTCCTCTTCCTCAATATATTTTTCTGCCCCTCACTACCAGGTTTCTTTCTCTAGTCATTTTTCAAATTCCAGAATTTTCTTGCGGAAATGTTTCTTTAAGACTATAAGATACTCTTAACATTGCATATGTCTTTGGAACGGCTGATTGTCTTGCACACGAGCGTGAATTAATTTAATCAAGTTTTTTTTACTTAGTTCTAACTTGCAGCATACTAAATGAATGCTGATTGTTAAGAATAGGGAGCAAAAGACAAGCTGATTGAGATAGAAGAAGGCCAGACAGAATGAGGACAATAGGTGCATGAGAAAAGGATTTCAGGAGAATACTGGAAAAGTAAGATGCAAAAAGAGCAATAAGAAAAATAATTATTATTTTCACATATTTCAAGACCCAGACATGAGACATGCTGGTGCTACACCCCTCGAGAGAAGAAGAAAAGTTTATTTCTTTACTTTGACCCTGTAGAACAGAATGGGCCCAGCTCCCAGGACCAGATGTGCATCTGGTACCATTACAAACCCCAACGTTAAATAGGGTTTTTGGAACTAACTTAGTGACACAGCCCTTGCAGGAAAATGAGTGGTATTCTAAAAAACTTAAAGGAATTCCTCTCATAGCTCTAGAACAAGAACTAACTTTGAAGAGATCTTTTTCGAGATGGAAAAATTTGAAATTTCCAATATTTTTGAAACTATGACCAATAAAAATGGCAGTTGCATAGGTTCAACCCAAAGGTTAATAAGCTGATGACTTCCTGAATTTCTTATCTGAAATTACACCATCAGAATGAAGAATTTGAAAAGCTACTTGCTACATCATGTAGCAAAAAAAAAAAAAAAATTAAATATAGACTTTATTAGTGTTGAAGACATAATGTGATTGAGGATTCATAAGAGATGCTGTTCAAAATAGTCATGTTATAATGCTCAATTCCAGATCAAGCCCTCTGTGTCCATGTCACTTCCTTCCATAGCCCTAGGCAACCTAAGATGTCTATATCTCTGGGTGTTTTAGGTTGAGGTTGACAGTGGGCATTATGAGTTTCAGGGCAACTTTAGGTGAACTCATTTTCTCCTTGTATCACTTAACATTCACACGGAGGGTTTTGCCATGTGATCTGGCATCCTTACAACCATGAGTTTACTTATGCCACAGGGAAGACCAATTTTACGTTTTCCTTTTCTTTCCCAGAATGGCAATTTAAAACCCTCTAACTTAACATCTAGATAAACCATAAAGTCTTTTTCAGTTCTATCATTTCATGATTTGATTTTATGGAAAACAAAGTGACTATGCTTGGTTTCCCATGCATATGGCAGTTCTATAACTATATGCAAGAAACAGGCAGCATTAGTCTTTCTTGGGGAGGAAAACTTGCTTCCTCCTGTACTGAGCTTTTTTGCACTGAATGTTTTTTAAATACCATGTATTATTTGCTAATAAGAATTAAAAATACAATTTAAAATGTAAGCAAAGCAGTTTACTTGTTAAAGTACAGAACCCCTCCCTGTATAAATGTTTAGTTCCTGTTCTTCTTGTTCTTCTTTATGACTTTACCATTATTGTGATTTAAAAAATAATAATTCCTAGGCACTGTGGTAGGCGAAATAGAGATGCAGAAGATTTTGATGATAGAAATTGCTATTGATTCTGCAAATATTTGTAACTACTCGTTATGTGATAGATCCTGGGCTAGGTACTTCCTCCTTTCCATGGCTTCTGGAAGGCTTCTTGTGTAAACATCCAAGGGTTTTTTTTTTCTTCGAGAGTTCTGCATGCTTAAAATGCCTCCCATAGAGAAGCAGTGGTTTGTTCTCCATGAATGCAGCAACAGATGAGGTTACCTGCAAGGAGGGTCACCTCCCACATTAAGGTGGGTCCCAAGCGTTTGACTGAGGCAGACACTACCATGATAACCAGTACATGAGTTACAGGACACTTTGTACAGAGGGGGAGAGTCATCCTGGCTAGATCTGCAAAATTGAGAATAAAAAGATGAAGTGAAGATAAAAAAAGAAGGTAGTGGAGGGAGGAGGTGACTGGCAATAGAAGCTAGTACAGTAATATCTTACTTCAAAAAAAGTATTGAGTTACACAAAAGCTGATTCCAAAGTTTTGTAAATATCATCCCAACACATTAGAAAGTCTGGCTAAATTAAAGAAGCTTGCTACTTAGGACCATTTTTGTCAAGCTAAAAGGACCTTATTTCAATTCAGATTTTACATAGATGATGTGTAGATAAGAACTTAACATTTTCAAAGCCCTTAGACAAATATTTCTTAGGATTCTTACAAAAACACCATGAGAATTGTTTTCCATTCCAGGGATGAGGAAAGTGTAGCTTAGAGGTTGAGCCACTTGCCTGTGAAGCCTGGTGGGGAAATGGCTGAGGTTTAGACCAGGACCCTGGAGCCCTACTCACTGGCACTAAGCTAGCCCCACGACATGTCTCTACAGCGACAGGGAAAGCACAAGTAACTTATCAGGCATTGTTTTTCTGATTTTCATAAAACTGTAGCAGTGAACATACCCTAGGTATCCCCATTTCTCCCATTCTTCCCCTCCAAACCACTTTCCTGGGTCTGCTGCCCAGTCCATCTCCCCAAAGTTCAGTTTGGATTCTCTCTTCCCTCAGCATCTCTGCTACCTCCACGTAGTCTACAAATGAAGTGCAGGCGCCACAGGCTGGCAGTCAGGACTTCTGCATGAGCCCCCATCCACCGCTCAAACCCTCTTTCTCATTTCACTATGCTAATGCTTACCCCTTGCACTCCAACCAAGCAGGTCTGTGTACCACCATCAGGGCCAGGCTAGGGTGAGGTGGGTCACAACATTTAAATGTTCACCAAAGAATTCAGTAATCAAGGTTAATATTTTAATGCAGTATTTCAAAATATCAAAATTGATGTCAAAAATGCGTGATGAAAAAATATCAAAATTTTAAATAAAGGCAGGGTGAGTATTATTGGTTTTTCCTTTTGCTTCAGGCTCAAAAATGCCTTCCAGGGGCACAAACGCTCATGGTGCATGCCGGTGTTACTGCCCCTGCAGTGATTCCCCACTCAGGTGCTTTTACTAATGATGTTTCCCAGAAGTTAGTTCTTACAACCGCTTTCTACATTAGTAACCCTCTCTCTTCTTGAACGAGGCTCCAGCATTTAAGTGTAGCGCTGTTCTGTCAGGAAAACCCATTTCCCCTAGTAACTAGTACTTTGAAGACATTCTGAATCATCTTGGATCCTTTCCAGCATGTTCTCCAACCACAGTGAGCACTCAGCACCGCTTCGCTAAAAGAATGCAGAATCACAATTCTCAAATCACCGTCTGGGGGGAGTACAGAAGGGGGGAGGGGACCCAAATATGTTTTGTTTAGTCCAGAGTGTTTTGAGAAAAATGAATTTGTTATCAAGATTTTAAAAATCAGGCTATCGTACATGAATATACTCCGTCATTTCTGGAAAAATCAGAAAATCTAGTAAAACTAGGTCTAATTCTTGCCTGATAGCAATGGACACTGAGAGCAGAACAGCGGCCCTGCCTTGGGAGCTCTCTCCGGTTCGCCTCCTCCCAGTTACAGTGCCTGTCAGGCCCCATTAGCTCTAGGAGTTTGCTACCCTAAGAATAAAGGAACTAGCGCACAGGGTAAAAATCCCTCAGGCTGGGTCTATTCGTTTTTTCCTGGAGGGAAAGAAAATGTTTCCTAGTTGTCCTTTCTAATATAGTCTAACAGAGAAGCTCACAGAAGCAGCACACCTTTGCAGCCCACAAACTTCCCACAAGCCGTGAAAGTCGCACTGGCTCTCGCACCCAGACGGGTTTCTCCCGGGACCTTGGCTCAGGGCCTCCGTCTCTGCAGAAGCCCTTCCCTTCCTCCCGACCTCAGCGCTCGGGAGCTTGGGGCGGGGTCCGGGCCCCCTGCCGCTGCTCTTTGCCCCGGGCTAGGGCGCTCGGGCTCGCCCACGGCGGCACTGAGCATGCTCGGAGGCGGTCGCGGGGGCAGGTTTGCTTCGCAGGCGCTCGCACTCGGCGGCGGGAGGGCGGGCGCGCGGCTGCAGCTGGAGCTCCGGCGCCCGGAGTTGGAGTTGCCGGGAGTTTCCCTCAACCCCTCCCTTTTCGCGCGCCGCAGTAGGAGCCGGTGCGGGAGCCGCGAACGGCGGCGAGCCAGCACCCGGGCCGGCTGCGCTTTCTCCGGAGCCCGGAGCCCCGCGCGGGGCAGCCCCCGGGGAGGAGCCTCGCGTGCTGGGACGCGTGCCGCTCACTGGCACGGCTGAGGCACGAGTCAGGCTGCACGGTAGGACCGCGGCCAGGGGAGCCGGGCGGGCAGGGCGGAGGCCAAGCCGAGGGGTTGGGGTTGTGGTTGCAGTCGCCGCGGCTGTTGGGGCGCCTGGCGCTCCGTCCGAGGCGGGTGGCCGGGTTAGGGGTCCCGCTGTGAGGCCGGAGGAGTAGGCTGGCGCCCAGAGAGATGCTTCCAAGTTGGCGGGTGGCGGGAGAGGGGGCCGCGCGCCCCGGCGCAGCTGCTTCGTGCGCGCGGAGAGGGACTCGCGTTCTTGGTTCTCTCCAACCCTGGGACCCGTTGTGCGGACAGTATTGGGCAAGCCAGGGAACGGAGCGATTTTCTCCGAGAAAGTTGAGAATGGAGCCCTTCTTTCCACGCTGGCCCCAAGATGGGATGGGCCCCGAGAATGCCGCCTCGACGCCCCCAGTGTGGGGAACTCGGGGTCGCTGCGCCCCTAGTTAGAGCGCAGAAATCCCCGAATCGCTCCGATCTTCACGAACTCTGGTATCTTCTAGGAAAATCATTACTGCCAAAACTGAGGCGAGCTTTTCTGGCGGGCTCGGCTCCCAGCCCCCAGGGCGCTGGCACTGGGCGATGCCCCCTTTCCGATCTCAGACGATCTTGGGGGTCAAGGGCGCCAGGCTCCGAATTCGCGCTCGGGGTGCACACAGGCATCGAGCCTCACCAACACCGGCGGGCAAAGTGGCTGGAGTAGGTGGGTGGCTCGATTTTCCCTCCAGCCTTTCCTCAGGTTTACAACACCCTGCCACCTCACCACCCCACCCGGTTCATCTTCGCAGAGGACAGGACCTGCAGGTGGAGAATGTGGAAAAACATATTTCTCCCTAGGAGAAAGTCCCCGGGGTGTATCTGCCTTTGGTTCTGGCCCCAGAATTTCATAACGAACCTTCTCCCGTTCCTATTACACTTCCCTAGGGACTGGGTGGGAGAGAATAGGGTCGGCGGGTCCACAGGAACTTCCACCTCATTTCACCCTCTCCTAAGATTGCCTTCCGGGCGACTCCAGGACCCTGGAACTGGCACCGTGCGAATTGCAAGGGTGAGGAGGATGCCGACGATTTTTTCCTGGCTCCACTTTTTTCACTTCTTGTTTTGAGTTTTGGGGTTTTGCCTGCACACTAGTCAGAGCTGCTCTGTCATAACCCTGGGGGTGGAGGAGCTTCAGCCGAGGCAGTGAGCCGCTGTTTGCCTCGGAGGCTGCTAGTGGGAATCGGTCCAAAAATGATTATGCAGGCTAGAAATATGCCTCTCTTTTTTTCTTTTTTGGCTGAACACCTTGGCTGTTGGGTTTGTGTGTTAAGTTCTTAAAGGGACACCCTCACACTACTCAAGTGCCAGGATTTAGGGGCTCACCATTTCGGCTGCCTGTTTTTCTCTTTGCTTTTTCATTGGGGTAGTCTGCTTTGGGACAGATTTCTGGCTGTGGGAATCACATGGTGTGGATACACTACACAGTTCTAGAGTCAGACAGACTTGAGGTCAAGTTTCAGCTTTACAGCTGATGACAGTGCCAATGGACAAATGATTAGCCACTCTGAACTTCAGTGTTCTCTCTGTCAAATAGAGATAATCATGGCCTTACCTCCCTCCATTGCAGGGTTGTTGTGAACTCAGATGAGATAATGGAAATGAAAAGTGCTAAGAAAACTTTAAAGCACCATTCAGTTCTTAGGTATTGTCTCTGTGCTCTTTAGGCAGTTTTTTTTTTTTTTTTTTTTATTGAGCTAATTCTTAATTATAATAAGACATCTAATACATCTCTCCGATCCATTCCTCACCAGTGGTTTAGTTGCTTGGGCCTTTGGAAGCAGCTGTTTACCCTTTTTCTTTCTCTATCCTCAAATCCATCTCTTTTGATTTTTAAGAATTGGAGCTCCAGTCCTCATATGTATCTGAGCAAGGTAGCATGATGTAGATTAGGAGATGACTGGGGTGGCCTTATCAACACTCATGGCCCTGGGCCCCAGAACTGGCATGGTCAGCAAGGCCTTCATTTGAAACTCAAGGCTGATGAAGAAGTCAGCAGATCCTGGGATGGAGCTCTGAGTTGACCTCTAATAGTGACCTTGAACTAAGGACTCAACTCCTAAATCTGTGGCATCAGTTTATGAAGATTAAAAGCCAATATCAATTGAAGGCAAAAACAGGTGAGATTCTCACTCAGTTAAAAAGGGTTCACAGAGGCTCCTGAGCCACCTTAGGTGCAGCAGCATTTCCCCCAATCCTAGGGCAGTGGTTCTCACATTTGAGCATCAGAATCATCTGAAGGGCTTGTTAAACCACAGATTGTTGGGCTATACTGCCAGTCTCTGATTCTCTAGGTCTAGGGTTGAGGCCCAAGAATCTGCATTTCTGACTAGTTCCAGATGATGTTAATGCTGCTACAGACCATGCCTATAGAATCACTAACTTACGGGGAGGGAGACAGTAGAAAGATGAAGTTTGTTCTGAAATGCCATTATTTTGCTAGCTCATATACAGAGACAGGGTTTCTTTGGGGTTGTGTTGGGAAGTCTCCTTAGGCATTTTACATTCCAATGCCTGTGCCACTTACCATTATCTAGATTTGATAATTCTGATTGCTCTTCAAATGGATGAATTTTATAAAAAGGTAGGATTCCCCCTTCTTTTCATGCTGTAAAATATGTAGTCTCAGATTTTAGATCACCCTTGGGTAGTGCCAGATTGATGACCTTTATAATTTCTAAAATCCAAAAACCACCCTATTTCCTTTTTTGGAGAAACCTCAGACATTTGTGGAAAGGAGGTTAGGTACAGTTCTGACAGCTTGAACCTTAAGGTTCGAGGATAGAATAGATCACCTAGGGAAAAAGTTTAAGAAGAATTTACAGTGGTGTCTTCTCTGAATGGACAGCTTACCCAGGACTTGGAGGGAGCATGAAGTACACCCCATGACAAATGTCCCATGGTGGTTAGTCCTGGCAAAGGCCTTTCATTCTTTCTGGGGAATGGCGGTGGCATTGACAGTGGCTGAGACCCTTTCTTGGTCTCTAAGAGGGTAGAAGGCTGGCTGGCTTTCAGGGGCAGCTGAGCAGTTTTAGTGTGGTATCCTGTGTAACTTAGCTTATAATCAAGCACTTTGGAGACTTAACCCAATCTTAAGCTCTTTTGCTTTTCCCCCAGGCCATAGTCCTATGCTGAGAGCTCACCATGACTTCCTATGACCTAGATTGTGGCCTTGAATTTCAACTGCTTTGCATCAGAGAGGCTGTGGGAGCCTGCTCGAGTCAGGAGAGTTCCTGCGATAACATCCTAAGGAAGAAATAAAGTTTACATAATGTAGCGCCCAAATGAACTAGGTGTGAGAGGAGGTCAGTCAGCACTTTAACTAGTTCTTATGTTGCTATGCCAAGTGGCGTCCCAGCTCACTGTCATGCTTTATCTCAGCTGTCCATTTGTGCTTTGTTTTAGTTTTAAAATGATTAGCACTAGAGAAACCTATCAGTAAATCAGAAACCTATTCAAAAACTCAAGTGTACGCTTAGTGTTTTAGTAGATAAAACTGCAAGGCCCAAACCTGTCTTCCTGACAGCAATCAGCACTTGGTGAAGGAACGGTCATTCTTAAGATTCGTTAGCTAATTTAAATGGTTTCTCCCACTTAGTATAAGTAGGGAACATTTCTATTTTAAAATTCCTTCCCATAACCCGATGTTTATATTTTGGGTGTTACCCCTGCTTTTTACTGCTGGGACTTTTTCCAATGTGAGGATAGCCTCTTATCACTGTTGCTCACTTTTCTCAGTACATGATTTGTTTCTCACTTTAATAAGTCTGTTGAGAGATGGTCATTATAACACTTTATTTGGTCATTAGGACTGTTATTTCTGAGTCACAGAGAGTCAGGGCCCATTCCTAGAACATTGTTTTCAATTTTCCTAGAGAGTGCTTTTAAACTAAAACACTAGTTATACTGTACTAGCTCATTTCTAAGATACATTTTTTTTCTGATTTCAGAAGTCCAGATGGATTTTAAAAATTATGAACACATTTAGGTTAGGCACAGTGGCTCACACATGTAATCCTAGTACTTTGGGAGGCTGAGGCTGGTGGATCACCTGAGGCCGGGAGTTTGAGACCAGCCTGACCAACATGGTAAAACCCCGTCTCTACTAAAAATACAAAAACAAATTAGCTGGGCATGATGGTGGGCACCTATAATCCTAGCTATTCAGGTGACTGAGGCAGAAGAATTGCTTCAATCTGGGAGACAGAGGTTGCAGTGAGCCAAGATATTGCCATTGCACTCCAGCCTGGGCAACAAACGCAAATCTCCATCTCAAAA